AGAGAGAGAGAGAGAGAGAGAGAGAGAGAGAGAGAGAGAGAGAGAGAGAGAGAGAGAGAGAGAGAGAGAGAGAGAGAGAGAGAGAGAGAGAGAGAGAGAGAGAGAGGACACAAGGATTTGGTTAGGCAGTTCACCAATTGTTCTTGCTATGGCTACATCTGCCCCTAATTCTAAATGGAATTGAGATAATAAATCTTACTTTGAAAAATATTATTTACAAGAAAAATGTAGGAATTGAACCCTACAAACCCCAAGTTTGATGTTGATCATAACATTTTCTCTTCCCTTGCTCTCATCTTGATCAAGTCACCCAACAAATCAATTTGATCCATTGTCTCGCGCTATTCCTTTGATTAAACCACCGTTCTTCAAAGCTTTCACTCAGCCGAATCTAAATTATGATTTTGATGCCTCTGCAAGTACACGAAAATATCGAAATAATATAAAAGATTATTGAACCCACAGAAACCAATAGTCAATCCTATCACTATCTATTATTGTTTTGTAAATCTAAGGCTATCTAAAAGGATTTTTAGTTTCAAAGAGAATTTAAAACAAGAAATAAAGTTTGGTTAAGAAAACATTAATAAAAGCGAGACTAGAATGTGATTCCCAGTGTACCTCTGGAACTTAGATAAGTCATTGGCGTATAAAAGATTAACTTTCAGAAGAAAATACCGGTTTAAAAACATTTGTCTCATACTCTCGTGCTATTGACTCCTGCTATATTTCAAAGACATAATTGGTTGCTCTCGCTGTGTTTAGATATTAATGTCCAATTTTTACTATCCGGTACGAACCTCACACTCTCGCGCTATTGGTTCGAAACCTTAGTGTTTTCGCTCTTGCGCAAAACCTTTTTAATTAAAACTAAAAATTAGAATCAGAAAAATAATTTAATATTTTAAGAACACCAATTTAATTTACCGAGTCCCTTTGAAACGACGGTCATCACATCACAGACTCTAGAAATTTAATAGGACATAATTGATATAAAACTCATAATATTATTATTATTATTATTATTATTATTATTATTTATGCAAAGTAGAAACATGAACATGATAAGGATGATGAATGCAAGTAGTATATTAGATTAGTTATGCAATATGTATTTGTCTAAAACAGTACGCACAAAAATCAATCCAATTATATATATATGTTGAAAATATTAGTAGATGATGAAATGTGAAACAAAGAGATCAAAATAGTAGTAGTAGGAATGAGTCAAATAATTAAAAACAACAATTGCAATATTAAGAATTAAAATGAACAAGTGCGGAAGATTAAAGAAAATAAATGGTTACGGAAGAATAATGCGGTGCGGGAAATTAAACGGTACGACTCTAACAGAAAAACTTTGGAATGAAAATAACGGCGAGATGAAATAGCTTTTTGATTCAAGTGCATGATGTAAAATTCAGAATTGCAGAGTAACGGTGTACCGATTTCTCGATGTGAACAACTCTTTAGAAGAATAGTAGAATATTCCTATATCAGTAAATTAATTATAGCAGAGTTAATTTAATGGAGTTATTATATGTATATAGCAAAATTGGATAACGGTGTAGTATTAAGTTGTCAGAAAACTAAAAAGGAATATTAGTATAAAGTAGAAATAATGGGACGTTTAGCTGGTAATTAATTAGCAGGATTTAGTCGATTTGTCTGAATAACTATACGGAACAATTGTTGTATATTTTAGTCGATACAGTGTGTTGAATACTTTGTTGAAAAATATGAATTGCAGGTGGTATTGAATTGTTAGGCTTATGACCAATGTTGTTTTCTTGTTGATGTTGTTGTCAAATTACTATTGTTGATATGTTATTGTTGTAGTGATATAATAAGTTGTAGGCTTATGCCAATGTTGCACTGATTGTTGTTGTTGAAATATTAAGTTGTAGGCCTAAGGCCAATGTTGAATTATTGCTAAGTTGTAGGTGTATGGCCAGAGTTGAATTGTTGTGTTGTTGTGATTGTCGCTGTGAATTCTTGTCGTTAATGCGAAGTTGCAGGAAATTTTAATGATGAATTACCTCTATTTACTGGTAATAATGGTGATATAGGCTTATGTCTTGCGATGAATGATGATTGTTGTGAGTATGTGATGGTGCATTCATTGAGTCACATACATTTGCATACTCTGTGATGGCCTGGATTGACAAACTGTAAAGAAGGCTTATGCCTTGTTGATGCCTCTATTAATTGGAAATTTTTAAGTTGAGAGTTCTGCTCCGTTTTTAAGTTGGGAGTTCTGCTCCGTTTTTAAGTTGAGAGTTCTGCTCCAATGGTACCACATGCATGTGTATTGTAGTTGAGTCGCATTTGATGTTGCATCTTGAGTTGTGGTGATGATATATTTGTTGTTTTTTTATGTTGTTGACTTGTTGTGACAGGTTTTATCTAAAAGCTGAGAATTAGTCGTTATGTCGTGTTGATGTTTTGTTGAGATTAAAGTTGTTTGAAAGTTGTGAAGTGATGATTTTATATGAACTGATTCTGATATATTAATTATCATACATTATATTATATCGTTAGATATCTCACCTATTTTGTTTGAATGTTGCCCTTTGTTGGTACGTGCAGGTGATCAAGAAGGATAGTTGTTATCTCGTTAGTTCGAGTCAGTGTCGTCGCTCTGATACGTAGCACTCGGGAGGGATGGACGCTTGATGTTTAGTTGTTGATATTTATTTCAGTTGCTGAATTTTAAATTGGTTACGTGAAATAATTGTTGTCTTAAAGTTGTTTTAGTTGAATAAAAGATGTTACGTGAATTGAAGTTGAGTATGTAGATTCTGCTGCATATCAATAAAAGTTATTTGATTTTTAAGAATAAATCAGGTTGTTATCGGTTCATCCGAATTAAGTGTTATGTATTTGTTTTATATGCGATTAAATGAAGTTTGATTTTAAGTTGAAAATGTAGCATCCTATTTATGTCGAACTCTGATTTTATTATTATCCGTCGGATAGAAATGAGGTGTTACACCAACCATTTCAAGGCTCGATTGGTTGCCTTAGGAAATAAGCAGGAATATTGAATTGATTACGATGAGACATTTGCACCGGTTTCCACAATGACATATGCTTGTATGGTACTCTCTATAGTTGCATCTAACGAGCGATCTCTTCATCAAATGGATGTAAAAAATACTTTTCTTCATGGAGATCTAACAAAAGATATTTATATGATTCCTCCTCAAGGTTTATTCTCGTCATCTAAGGGTGTGTGCAAGCTCAAACACTCCTTATACGGTTTGAAACAAGCGCCTAGAACATGGTAGAAAAAATTCCTCTCTACTATACTTGGGTTCTCCTTTACCCAGAGTCAGTATAATTCTTCTCAATTTATTCATAGAACGTCTATTGGAATTTTCCTACTTATTATGTATGTTAATGATATGATTATTACTAGTTTTGATCATGCTTCCATTCAAAGCCTTAAACAGCAGCTACATGCATTGTCCATATGAAAGATTTTAGTAATTTGCGTTATTTTCTTTGTCTTGAATTTCATTCTACATCCAAGGGCATCTTCCTCCATCAACACAAGTATGCCACATATTTAATTTCTATGAATGGTCTCTAATCGGCTAATCTAGTGGATACTCCTCTTGAGGTTAATGTTAAATATCATCGTGATGATGATGATCTTTGCCTGATCCCCTATTGTATCGTCAAATCGTGGGTAGCCTTAATTACTCGACTATTACTCGCCCTGACGTATCTTTTGTTGTTCAACAAGTAAGTCAATTCATGCACTCTCCTCGCCATCTTCACTTAGCAGTTGTTCGTCGCATAATTCACTACTTGAAAGGAAGCTCTCACCGTGGTTTATTCTTTCCCCCTGGAATTGCTCCAAAATTGAGTGCTTATAGTGATGTCGATTGGACAGGGTGTTCTTATACTCGGTGATTTGTCACTGGTTGGTGCATATTTCTTGGCTCCTCATTGATCTAATGAAAAAGTAAGAAACAAGAGAGAGCCTTTAAATCTTCTACTGAATCTAAGTATTGAATCATGTATGCAACTTGTTCTGAAATAATTTAGCTTCGTGGTCTTTTTGGCTGAACTTGGATTTCCTCAAATAGAGCCAACCTCACTTTATGCTGACAATACAAGTGTCATCCAAATTGTTGTGAATCCTGTTTTTCATGAACGGACCAAACATATCGTAGTTGATTGTCATTCAATCTGTGACGCGTATGATGACCGACTAATATCACTTCCTCATGTCAGTACTCTATTGCAGGTTCTATATATTTTTACCAAGGTTGTTCCACGTCCACGTCATCAGTTTCTTGTTAGCAAATTGATGTTCATTGACTCACCACATCTATTTGAGAGGTGATGTTAATAAGAAGTTAATTTGTTCTCTTAATTATATTTATCAGTTTGTTTCTAAAATAAATAAAACAAATTAAAAATTAATTTATTCTCATTAAATGTAATTATTTAGGATAATTACTTGTATAACCCGGTAATCTCTATATATACAAGAAATAACAATGAAAAAGATATAAGTAAAAATTATTGACGGGAACAGTTGCGAGACATAACTGATAACTTCCATTTATAATTACAGGTCTGGTATCTAGAACTAGTTCACTATTATTCTCAATGACTCTTCTTTTACCGATTTCATGGTGTTCACTTCCAACTTGAGGAGGTTGCAAAGCAACCTTGCAAATACATACAGATAAATATATAGAAACCATATGGAATTTAGCTTCATTTATATTTTTAGTATTTTTTAAGTGAAAAATATAGTATAGTAGTAGTTGAATATCCAAACATGAAATTGTGACTAGATACTAAAGAAATATGTGATTATAGGTAAGGCTGGAAACTCTAATGAAAATGGAAATCAAAAACAAAAATTTATTTACAATTGTTTATCTTTAAATTGGACTAAAGAAAACTGCAAGAAGCCTACACACATTGCAGAGATGCTGTATGCTAGAAAGCATAAGCACATGTGACTCAGCCATCCATTATTTTCTCACATTTATTTGAAACACTCTATTATACCAAATTGAGTGAAGTGTCATGTGAAACAGGTCATACTTCAAAGGTTTTGTATGCCAAAGAAAATGTTTCTGAACTCTCCTAACACCAAGTTGTAACTTAAGATACTTCTCTTCAGGCACTGAAAGAAGTATCTGTTTCAAGTTTGGAATATCTTTCTCCGCGAGGATTAATGAGAATGCGTCCCAATTTAAAACCTCGAAAAACGGTGGCACGAAGTTGTCAGATATGATCACAGGTACACACTCGTAAAATATGGCTTCAACCACCCGAGGGCTGTTGACTTCATATCCCTTGGGGCATATGCAGTATTTGCTACTCTTCATGTGTTGGATGTAACTCATTTTGTGTGCAACACCATGCGGCATTGGGCCGAGTATCTTCATATCAGGGTCTTTGTCCTTCCAGTGCTTTAGCAATATCGGGCGCAGATAACCATGCATGTTTCCTGCATAGAAGGCAAGAATAGATCTTTGTTGAGGAGGTTTTCCACCTATATCTCTTTGAGGATTTCTTACCGACCGGACCATGGTTTCAGGAAGAGAAACGTCTCTTCCTATTTTAAAGCCTTGAGTTACATCAGAATTGCATAGGGCTTTTATGCAGTATTCCATATGATGCCTTGTTTCGTACGGAGCCTGCAACATGAGATGTAAGACTTTTATCAAAGCATCCGATTCAACCATCGAAATCATAATAGAATAATATCTTGGAAGAGGAAAACTAAAAAAGAGCAAACATCATACCCAATCATGGCAAGCAACAAGAAAATGGTCAGCACCGCCAGTTCGGTTAAAGTAACGATATTTTGCTGAAATTGTATCTGTATAATCCTTCAAATACCGACGGAGATTTGTCCGATTATGAGAGTTACGTACATAAATGGAGAACTCTAACATACGTGAACTAAAAGGCATATAGAATAGGTGAGCCTTTGCAGGATCCTTCACAACAAATTGCTTATTTTCCTCCATCAACATCATAAACCAACCCTCCGACGCATATAGTCCCTTAAGTATAGGTTGATGAAAGATAGGTTTATTCCCTTCCTTATATATATACACTTTGAGCGTGCGTTCCATCAGTTCATAGCTCCTGCATATGCAACAATGAAAGAAACTTACTTTAGTTGAGTTCATATCTTGTTCAACAACCTCATTCATCATTAAGCTTACCTTTTGAACATAGAATGATTGCGAAAAAGAGGAGCATAAAGCTCCTTGTCATGTGTTACAATAGGAGCATGCTCAATCTCCGACCTTGCAGCGAGAATTTCCATATCAAGTTTGGATGACCACCTTGGTTTCTGCATTTAAAAGTAGAATTCCATATCGAAATAATCAAAACTCCCCAAGAATAACTTGTCCATATAGCAACTAGCAATGTTCATAATTGACAAAGATAATAATACCATTGCACGAGATGAAGTGCGACGGCGCTGTAGCAAATGGTTCATCTCCTGTATTAACATTCTTGACTTAGGAGGCATATTGCACTTCGGCTTCCTCACAGTAACATTCGCCGCAGTACTTTTATCTGAGACAAACAATTTAATTTTCTGAGAATCTTCAAGATGAGTCAAATTAGCCGACGAAGTTGTAATCCGCGAGGTATCCAAACCAACTCTATCATATTCTCTTGAATCAACATTAGTACTTTTAACCAACTGAGAAAATGTAGAAACCCCCCTTTTTGTCTCCGAAAATCGCTTCACTGAAAAATTCACCTTACTCTCCTTGGCCAAAATCTCCATAAAACTTTTCATTGAACCTACATTATCCAACTCCAAGCTGTTGTTTTTACCAACATCGTGAAAATCATTCCTATCTACCCCAATTTTAGAAACACCATCAAAGACTAAACTACTCTTTGCATAGTTCTGAATTCCTTCATCTTCAATAGAATTGAAAGCAGAAGAATCAGAAGACCAAGGAGCTCTTCCATTTCCATATGGAACCAAAATTGACTGAAACAGTAAATAATTAACACCAAGTGCTGCCAACAGAAAAAGCAATCTCCTGTTTCCCATATGACACAACTCATGAAAGTATTGAAACATGTTAGCTTGTCAAAACTGAGATAACCCCAAAATCCCTTCAATCATCATTTTCTCCGAAAATGTACTTCAATCACACCCAAGTCAGTTAATTGACAGAAAACTTGAAAAGAAATCAAAGGGTCCTAAAAAAATTGGAACTTTAGATAATTAGAGAAAGTTTGTGTGATTCATCAGATCAAGACAATAACAAAGAAAAAAAAACAGAAGACAAAAGAAACAGTTGGTGTTTAAACAATGAATGTTTCTTAAACATTGTTGTTGATTGAAGTAACAGTACTTACCTCAGTGAAGTGTTATTATAGTTCACTTCAATCTTTGATTTTTGCTTTCTTTTGGATCTTCAACTTTCTCAGAAGTCAAACAAAGAATCACTGAAGTGTTAACACTCAGAAGAAGAAGAGATTAGAGTTACTAACTTCTGAATCTAAAGGCAACAACTTGCTAATTATATACTAATTTGCATTAATCATTAACATTAGTTACTGTATAATAAGCTATACAAAAAATAATACTTATTTCTCACTTTCTTTTTCACTTTTATTTGTATAGACAAACACCTTGGTTATCTTTTTATATGGTATTGTTGCCAAATTGAAGTAATGAAATTTTGTTGGTACTATATGGGGGCAAGTTCTAAGGCATGTGATATATAATCTTAATTGGTATATGAAAGTTGTAGATGAAATTGTAATGTAGTAGTTTTTTAATATTAGATTTAGATTTAGTAATATTTATCTAAGTCTATTAGATTTAGATTTAGATCTATTGAAATTAATTTATTTTTTATTGTAAATTTTTATATTTTAAAATATATTTAAAAAAAATTTATATGGTATCAGATCTCTCGATTTTAGGAGTCTTGCTTTTAAGAGAGGGAGATTGAAGGTGAAAGTGTTGGTTGCTCAAGTGACAAGGCAGATAAATTTTTAAACTTGTCTTTGTAGGATTGCCAATATAACTACGATGAGTAAGTATAGTTAAAAATCTCTTTGTTGGAGATTAGATATAGTCATTATATTCATGTATTAAATATGTTGTGACGTTTTATGTAAGTCTACTCAAACTTTAATATTGATTACCCTTTAGTTTTTATGTCTGTTTTAGATTTGCCACCTAAAATTTGTTTTCATGGTGTGACTTAACGCTCGAAAGGTGATTTCTTTTACTAGATCTAAGATTATCATCTATTGGATATTAAAGCCTAGAGATAGGGTTAGATTCAATATTCACACATATTGTAGTATGATCAGTGTGAAGTCTTGTTGCTTTATCGTTGTTGAAACTTAATGTTTTTTGCTGGTTAATAGACCATGATATCAGTTATTAGGTGACGCGCTGATCTCACAGTGTTGAGACCGATATGAGATATGAATGAGCGCATCAAGTGGTAATATTAATACCTAAGTATAGGAGCATATTAGTGGCCTATGGTTATCCAAGATAAATATGTAATGACGAAATCTATCCCTAGCAAGCTTTTTAACTATTAACACTGAAATCTCCTTTTTACTTTATGTCATTTATTTTCTACAATTTACTTTCATGCATCAAAACAAATATAAAACCATTCCCTATTTAACATCTTAAAAAATATTGAAGTGTCTTTGAAACTACCAGACTCCGTAGATACGACAATTATTAAACTTACTTTTATCCTTGCAACAGCGGCCCGTTGTCATTAGTAGTTTTCTAACTAGTTAAGAGGAAGATAAGCTCATGAGGGTGTTGAGAGGGAATAAAGGAGAACTTGGAGGAAGCATATCTGATTTCAAAGGGATAATTTCAGCCTACTACATGCATAAGATTAAGCTTGAGGAAGAATTCAAACCAGTCGTTTAACCCCAAAGACGACTTAATCTACAATGAAAGAGATATGGAAGAATATGTGTTTAAGTTACTTGAGCGTGGGATGATCTATCCCATTTTTGACAATTCATGGGTTAGTCTCGTACATGTTGTACCTAAGAAGGGAGGAATGATAGTTATCCAAAATGAGAAGAATGATTTGATACCGACTCATATAACTATTGGTTATAGGATGTGCATAGATTACAAGAAGTTAAATCAGATGATGAGTAAATATCATTTTTCTTTACCATTCATGGATCAGACGCTGGAGATGTTAGAAGGGTAAGCCTACTACTGTTTCCTTGACAGGTATTCAAGTTATAATTGTAATTATGTCACAACAAGACAAATGTCAAATACAAAGTCAGGATGTTCAAAATGTTGAATGCAATGTTAACACATTGTAGCAGCAGAAGTAACAATTAACAAATTAAAACTAGTTGCAGGAAGAAAATAATACAGATCAATTGTTAACCCAGTTTGGTGCAATGTCATCTACATCAAGGGGCATCCAACCCATGAAGGAAATATACTATAATAGTATTAGTTTAAAGTTCTAAACAACCTCTGGTTTTACAAACTCCGCACCTAATCGCTACCCGTGCTATTTCTATCTAAGAACTCCTAGATATGAGACCCCTCTCACTTCCCTTCAATCACACACATGTGATAATAACAACAAATACAACCAAATAAAAGAAACACTTCCAATTAAATAGAATACACTCTTGCTTAAAAGATTATGAATGAATCACAAGTTACAACTCAAAACTCAGCCCGTCTTAGTATCAAAGTGATACATGAGAGGCTCACAATTAACAATAAACAATGAACAAACTAAACCCTAATATTTTCTTTCACATGCGTTTCACTTTGCTTAGGTTTAAAGGATTTCTTTTTATAGCCAGAAGAACGTTTGGGCTTGGATAAAAAATCTAGTTAAAACATCCTGCAAATCAAATCAAATCAAATTAAATTATATCAATTTTTCTGATGTAAGGCATAATGTTTTGACATCCAATATTGTGATTCAAATCTTCTGATATCTTCAGCTTAAAACAAATCTTCATAGAATCCAATCTTTAAATGTGTTACTTGATTCACACGAAACCAAAATAAAGTCTTCTGAAAATACCATAAACAAATCTTCTAAAAACAGAACCAATATAGGTTGTAATGTCGTAGAAACATGTCACGACATTTTTTCCAATATCTTGCTTAACATATTATTTTACCAAAATGCAACGAACAAATCAAAACCTAACAATCTCCCCCTTTAGAAATGTTTTGGCTAAAACAATATTTGCACAAAACATCCAAAGACAACTAACAAATAGGAGAGATAAACAAGCAACATTATTTCAAAGAAACATATTTATAATAATACACAACCAAAATATGAACTATACTAGTTCACAAATCATTTAGGCATACACAGCAGAAAAAGAAACACAGCCTCACAAAACACAAACATCAGAGAAAAATAAATTCTCCAACAAAACTCCTTCACAAACATCCTCTAGACAAGATGTCAAGACATCTAGTATGACATCAAGCACACACTACTTCTCCTAAACCCTAGATTAGCAACCCAATGATATGATAATAAGTAGAGAACATCATGCTCCCCCTAAATAGTTACACACAAATAAGCCAAAGTAGTACTCCTCCAACAACAACCATACCAAATACCCCCCCCCCCCCCCCCCCCCCCCCCCCCTTAGCCAAAAATTAACAAAAAAATCTTGCACTCATTAGGAGCAGAAAAAACAACAACAAATCATCTTTGTGTCATCTTCACACATTTATCTCTGTCAAAAATCCTCTTGTACTCCTTGCTCATTATATTGTCACGTTCCTTAGGAATGTTAACAATGAATTCCTTCACCAGCCCCTTAGAACATTTCCCACAACCAGCAGCACTCTTCATCACACCAGCTTCCTTCCTTGTCATGATAGCAGGAGCCACAACTTTGCTCCACCCTTTTTCAGATCCAACACTAGCACTTTTCCCTAGAATAGTATGCACCACTAAATGGAGGAAAGATAAAGTATTTATTGCACCCCTTATTTTTTCAAACTGGTTTTCATCCAAAGCCTTTGTAAAAATATTTTCCAGTTGTTTCTTAGTGGCCACATGCTCAAGAGACACAATTTTGTCCTCTACAAGCTCCCTAATAAAATGATGATGAATGTCAATATGCTTTGTCTTTCTATATTGGATGTGATTCTTGGATATGTTGATAGCACTCAGATTGTCACAATATAATGTCATGACATTCTGTTCGACATTATATTCCTTTAACATTTGTTTCATCCAAATCAATTGAGAGCAACTGCTTCTTGCTGCAATATACTTTGCCTTAGCAATAGACAATGAAACACATTTTTTCTTTTTACTAAACCAAGATATAAGATTGTTCCCTAAGAAAAAAACATCCTCTGTTGTACCCCAAAATTTTCCCTCCCATTTTTACTCAAGACATGCTCATTGAGATCCTCAATTGCTCAAGGTTGACCAAGAATTGACCAGACAAATTCTCCTCCTAAGCAATGGATTTCCATCTAGGGTTTTATTTCTCACAAATAACTTTGGTTTGGAGAAGCTCCAAATGATTTCCATGGCACCCTATATGCCTCATCATAAAGGCACATTTGAAAGAAAGAAAAGAAGTGTACATAACAAGGTGTAGGTCGAAAGCTGAAAATATGCCTAAGAGCTTTTGGATCGAAGCAGCTTCGACAGCAGCATGCGGTCTAATTTAATGCCCAACGAAGCACTAGGATCGAAGGAAGGATAATTCGAAAGAAAGTGTGAGGAGGATTTTGTGAAGTCTCCGATTGATGTAAGAGCTAGTAAATAGCGTCATCGAAGGGTTTGTTTTTGAACCATGGAAATGTAAGCTATTTGAAGCATTAAAAGGAAGACACACTTCGACTGATATGTTGTTTGAATTGGCACTTTAAAAATAAGAAGATTTTGATTTCAAAAGTTTCGATCTTATCCAAATAAACACGTAGAAGTCTAATGGTTCGAAGGATATGCAACCTTCAAACATGGTGTGATTGAAGGACAATTAGAGACGAATCAGCCAAATATGAGTCATCTTGGAGTTTTGGGATCAATGTCTTTCAAGCATGTGCCTGAACAG